TTGGGATCAGAAATATAAGAAGGTTAAAAGAATATTCCATGAAAATAACCTGGTACTGCTGTACAACATGACAGTTAGTAAGAGTTTTTTTAGAAAATTGTTACCGAAATAGAAAGAACCCTATTTTATACACTCTAGGGTTACACGAAATATGTATAAGCTCAAAACCCATGATGGACAGATTCTAAATACACCTGTTAATATATTGTTACTAAAGCGGTATTATGATAGAAATAATACTACCTCTTAAATTTATATTTACATGTAGAACTCGTAAATAAGAAAGGAGGAGTGTTAGATCTAACTAGATTCCAAGGTTCCAAAATGAAATAAACATGCATGTTTATAAAATCATATAATCTACGTGACCATTGATGAATACAGTGACCGGTTAAACCTTTTATTCAAATCTTGATTATGTAACTTATTTTATTTTTATCTTTGTACCTATATTATTATTCAATTTATTCATATTATATATAGCATACTAATTACTATATAAGGATATTCTACATACATAGAAGTTGACACGTGATAGAAAGACGTTTGATACTTCAGAAGACGAATTGAACCCCATGTATAATTAAGAGATGGTTATATGATTAAGATAACTAAAAGCAAGGAACCATTCGAAAAAATTACTCTTTGGATAAAATGCTTTCCGAATGAATTAGTTATTCAAGATAAATATATAGCATTTAATTATTATAAAATCGCCAATGTTCACAAACGTGATTATTGGTAATAACTAAAATCTCTTGAGATAAATAGTTAAGCCAAAGAGCACTCTAATATAAACAAAGATATTGGAGTGAAGATTAGTGGTAAAAGAGATAATTGTGTATAAGAAAAAATAAATAGAAGTAAAACTGATAGTAGAGTAATCTAAATTATTTCTATATATTAAAAATGTATTTAAAAGACTTACTTTCACACTTCAATAAAACATCATTCAATTTTTGACTTATCTAAATAAAAATATGATACCTGTGTCTTCATACACAAGTTAAATAATAAACTATTTAGACTATTAAGAATCTTAACAATCATAACCATGTGATTGATATAAAGAGATTTTATGATTACACATCTTGAGTTATTGTTAGTTTAATCCTTGAATGACTTCTTGTATCTTCATATATATTAGCTATTTGTCTCTTTCGAAACCCAAATCACATAGTTAAAGCCTCTTAGAGAAGCTTGAGTTAGGCAACTTTAAGGTTAAAAGCCAAGCATTTATTTGTTATCAAATCCCAGTTGCATTGAACCAATTAAGAGGTGGTTTGAGTGTAATAGTACTATTAAATTTTATACCTATCCATACTAACTTGTATCACTGTACTGTACTACTTTACTTATTATCTATGGAAAAATAACAATATAGGCCTATGTTGCTGTCTGTATCTGGATGTATGTGATAAAGTTTTAGCGTATGTCTTAGCTTACAGAATGCTAACACCGTAAGCATCAAAAGGGCAGTTCAGGGGATTCATCATTCTGGTATGGGTGCTCTCATACTAGGTTCGGTACAAGCTATGCCTTGTATATCTCATTGCTAACTATGAGCATGGATCCTATTTATATTATAAAAATGAATAACTTCAAAATAGCTGATTTCATATATTATATTATATAATTATATTATCTTAGAGATACTAGATTAAGTTATTTTTCTTTTTCTGTTTTAGAAGCAATGTCAAAAATTTTATAAAAAAACTTGAACAGGAGAAAAGAAGAAAGTAAGTATAAATATATATGTACCTTATACTATCCAAATCAAGAAGTATTTATTTTATTTATATTTTTTTACTAATATAACGACAAGCTATAGAACAAGAATATAACGTTAATATAATTCAAGAGAATATAGAATTTATATTGGGCAGATGTGTAAGTAAAAAATTATAATTCTAATTTCTTGGCATGTTTATTATTAATTGAGAAATATTATTTATAGAGTTAAAATAGAAAATGGTTGCAAAGAATCTACTATAGTCGCATATACTGAAATCATTCACTATTTGGAACGCTTAGATCTAACAATAATTAAACCAGAAGTTTCTTTAGTATCTGGTATTATTGATCTTTCTAGAAATGAAGACCTATTTGCAAATTTATTATTGTTTAGATCTAAACAGATTTTGATATATTATAAGTTTGACAATAATGAATTTCTAGGAAAAATAAAATTCATAGTAAATGATTTTGTAAACATGTATAAGGATCTAAGACCTGACTTTGATCCAGTATTAATGTGACCAATAGCCTTTCTATGAAGAAAAATGTCTGTTAAATCTAGACATATAATGATGATAGTTTTTGACTTGTTAAAAGGATTGTAAGTTATTTGTATTAAATTATGTATATATTTATATAAGATTATATTATTAATTAAGAGTATTTCTAATTCCAGACAACATATTTGGGGTCTGAGACTATTATTAATGGAAGATGATTACAGCAAGAACTCATATATAATTCATGCTATATCAAAGGTTTTAGAACCAATCTTCACATATTTAAAGTGGTCTTTTAAATATACATAGTAATATATATACTGTAATTATTTTTATAATGATTATTATAAATATATAATACTTATTAAATACTATATATAAATTTTAATACATATAGGTCTGAGCAGATGAACAAGTTATCACAGTTTAGGATGGAATGAATAGAAGCCACAAATTCAGGAAAAAAGCTAGATCTACAGGTTTTGTTAAAGGTTGACAAGTAAAAAATGAAATAATACTTGCTAAAGTTTTATGATTACTGCCTTAACAAGATAATAAAACTATCAAATGAAAGAAATTGGTATGTATTTGCAAAGATTGTTTTGATAAATGATATAACATTTTTTTTGATAGGAGGGATGATACTACCGATATAACCAGGTCAATAAATGCCAAGCTAGAGAAAGTTTCTGTTTTAGATATCTAAATAATATGAGATCATGTGATTGTTTCTGCATTAGACTTATTTGAAGATGATTTTTATCAGGTCTTTTAAATATATAAGTTGGTTATATCATTACATATTTCTTCATGCCTAATAGTTAAAAAATTTTTAAAGAATGCCTTTAAATTGAGGTTCATGGTAGAAAAAATCATTACAATGTCTGTTAATATGAAAAATGAAATTAGTCTTTTGCTAGTAACTGAAGATCAGGCCCATCAACATTAATAATGTTGACAATATATTCTTCACCAAAAAATTCTTAAATAAAAAAAATTCCAAATATGTATATTTTTTATTCTATATTTTATTTTTTATATTAATAAAGCTAGCCCTAGTGGCTAGTTTCGTATATATAATTGCATTTATTTTTGCATGTATATTTCATGAATTTATTTTGCCTTCTCGCAATTCTTGCTCAAAGTCAGAGAGTAAGTAAACCCTGAGTTGTTTACTATATATCTTTTTTCAAGCTTGCAAGAAAAAAATATAATCAAGAATTTTTAAAAATATTTCTTGTAAAAGTGATCAGCATGACAAATTGTCACGTGCATAATTTGGGGTTGAGTCAATAGAAATCAAGCAAATATTTTTTAATAAATTTTTTTAAAACTTTAAACAAGAATAACTTA